GTAAGGCTTTGCTGTCAGACCTGCTTTTTTCCTTATATTAATATTTATAAAAGTGCAGTACAGCCTATGATCATCAATACTGTGCTTGATGGAGGGGCTGAGGGGGTGAGATAAGGCTCTGTTGACCGATTTGTTGAAATGGGTGACTGTAGCTTCTGCTATTGGTCATGGTCTGCTCCTCAAAGCAGAGGCCGCCTTTTATCAGCTAAGTGCAATTCGAAGCAGCAGTTCAAAGAGAAGGACTGAGTTTTTGAGGATAACCTGTCTGAGGTTAATCCTGGAGAATTTCTGCTATCAATGAATGTTTCGTCACGTTGTGAGTGTTTGGTCAACCATTTAGTGAGGTTCCCATATGCTCCTAAATCAATGTAGAACAGCCATCTTACAGAACTTTCTTGTAAAGGTCTTAGCTAGTTCTTAAATGAAAGCAATAATCAATGTGAGGCCATGTGTTACAGCGATTTTATCATGGTTAAGGGAATTTCAGGCAGTGCAACATAGCCTTTTGATATTAAACAGTATGATAAAACGCACCAGTATTCAAATATTTGCATTAATTAAAAAGGATATAATAATCACAGTAAACAATTATTTTGCTAAGTGATAGAGTGAATAATAGGGGTGGAACGGTACACAGATGTCACGGTTCGGTACGTACCTCGGTTCGGGGGTCACGGTTCGATACGATTTCGGTACAACAGGGGAAAAAAACTAATCTACTATGCTCGGTTTCTTTTCATTTATTAAATCTGCAGTACATATAGGACTGTACATACAAGGAATAAATTCTTGAAACATATTTGATTTTGTTTACAGATAAACAAGGGGAAAAAACTGCTGCACGTAACGTAGCCTATATACGCTGAGTTTCAGTTCATTTTTGTGACAGGCTTAATTTGTTCACAGAAAGGAAACTCAAATGGCAGAAAGCGGCATCCTATTTGTTTTCTTTATTTTACAAAAGCACAATTTTTGTTTTCATTGTGAGTGCACACAAATAAAAGCAGACCTTTATACAGTGATGCATTATTAATAAGACAATAAGTGTTTAAAGTTGATTCTGCTGGTATAAGGAAACACACACACACACACACACAAAACACATAAATTCCAGCATTGCTAATTTTATCAAAATAAAATACAGTGAACCAAACGTCAGTGCGCCCGCCTCAGTGTCACCGTTGGAACGCGACTGAAGTACAAAGCCTATAATTTACATTTTTAAATAATAGTTTAGCATTCAGATACGTTATGGAATATTTGGATTTGTGCCGAATGAGAGAGGTAGGATACACGAGCACAAAGCTCCATTTCGCAAACAGTTGAGTGCACAAGCCTTTAAAGTATACTCCTTTGTCAGTCTGTGAGAGACGCATTCAGAATCAGCACATGGTCACTGTCTAGTAGGCCTTGTTTTCAAGTGCGCAACTCATGGCATTCGCTGTTCTTCTGCTGGTGGCCGGTTATCAAACAGCGTTGCATTGCTGCGGGTGCCCCCTTCTGAATTGGGGGTGAATTGCCTTTATTCGTTGTAAGGCCTCATGCACCGAACCGAGATGTCCGTACGAACGACACATGTATTGGTTCGGTACGAACACATGTATATTTCCACCCCTAGTGAATAAGCCTCATTAACTATACTAATTAATTAGCTGTAGGCTGTTTAAAGTTCTAATTGTTTGTAGCAACACATTAATAGACAAAACAAAATTGGTGAGGGATTTACTTAGAATCGAATTAAAGGAAAAAGATGACTCTTACTGCATGTTTAATGCTATTTTATTTGATGATTTGTTAATGCGTCATTGTGTCATGACTTTACTTTGAGGGGCCCATCATTACTAACTCATTATTAACTACCCATAAACTAAAATCAACTCATGGTTTGTTAATGCATTATTTTGCCATGACTTTACTTGAGAGGGCCCATAATAATTAATTCATTATTAACTATCCATACATTAACATCCACTCATGGCTTGTTAATGCATTATTTTGACATGACTTTACTTGAGGGGCCCCAATCATAATTAATTAACTGTTAACTACTTACTAAACTCAGCTCATGATTTATGTTATACTTTCTATCAAAAACACATGTACTAACACAGTGAGTATTGTGCCTGATTAAGAGATGTGGTGTGGCTGTTCAAGAAGTCAGAGAGCCAAGGTACAGGATCATCATGGCCTGCGTCTGGATGGAGAGTGAACTGTACTGACACCCACCAAACATTCTGACCTTACCTGCATGTTTCTAGTTTGGTCATTTCTTTAGGAATCATTCTTCAAATATTCTTTGTGGGTTTTGAGTTATTTATTTAATTATTTAAGCTGCATATAAGTCACAGTAGGGTGAGTTTAAAGGGAAAGATAACAACACAAAACAGACAAGATTAATTATTAGTGTATTTAGTGTATTTTCTATGCTTGATGAGGAGGATCATATTAATCCTTTACCACCCAGTAATGATTATGACAATGCTGAAGATGTCAAAAGCTCAAATTATGATATTAAATTATTTAAATTAATTTCAAAGTCAGAGTATTTCTTATTCCTTCTTAAAGAGGCTGTTTGATTTAGTTGACCCATAAATGTTAATTAAAACTATCAAACATGTATTTAAGGCTGTCGTTATTCATGCGTGAATCCATATGACTCCAGTCGTAGTTAAGAATAGCTCTTCATTAGTTCATGATTAGTTAACACCTTTAATAATCATTAGTTTAAGATGTTATGTTATACTTTCTATCAAAAACACATGTACTAACACAGTTAGTTACAGTTTGTTAAGTATTAATCTAGGCATTAGTAAATGATTATAATTATGTACCCTTATTGTAAAGTGTTCTTGTAAAATGCCAATAACCTTTATTTACAATGTTAAGAAATCTTATATAATATTATATAGGCATTAATATAGAATTAATTTGATGTGTAGTCATAATTGCATATATGTACAGCTGCTTCAAATTTGGCTCATCAAATTCGATTATTTTACCAGCACAATTAATAATGTGAGAAACATGATGTAATTCTTAACTTTTTTTGTCGTTTGATATAAAACTAATTAAAACTGATGAAATCGTAATCTCCAGATTTTAATGGTTTCTAAATTCTCTCTCTCTTTTTTCTGGTCTCATATTTTTTCTTTCTCATCTTGTCTATTCATCATCTCACATCTTGCATGTGTGTTGTGAAATATCTGCATAGCGTTGCGCCATTGCATCAGAGAATATGAACTCAGATTCTGGTCAGTAATCCGGAGGCTAAAACATGCATGATTTAACATGTCTTGTGTGACTGCATTTATTCAAGGTGTTAAGCAGCCCATGTATGCTCACAGAACAGCAGCAGCTTCCATCTATTGAAACATAAGCTGCTGGAAACCCAGCACAACTCTGCTGTGAGAAAAGGCTGATGTTTTTGAATTTTAATGGACAGAGGGGAAATGCATGATGAGTATGAGCTTTAGTGTGCATAAATTGATGCGCAGAAGATGCTTTTTTAGATGTATGGTCTCATAGGTCATAATGAAGGTGTAGAAGTCATGTGTGCTATCTATGGGAAATAGGATTCATTTTGAAGCACAGATTTATAGTCCTTCTATAATTGATTTTCTAAAGTAGTGGATTTATATAAGATTAATCAATCCTGCAAGCACTGGACAATGTTTATCTTTTTTGTTTGTTTATGTTTTATTATCTTGTTTTAGTTTTGTTGTGTTTGTTATTTTGATATTTGTTTTGTTTTATTTTTTAAATTGATTTTGTCTTATGAATCCGTATATCATTCGATCATTCGTTTTTTGATTTAATACATGCGCCAGAAAGATGCTCAAGGACACCGAGACACGCTAAAGCAGTGCATTCTGTTGTTCTTTTTATTTTTCAAAGGCATGATATTTTATTTTGAACGTAACGTTACACAATTAAAAATAAAAATTTTACCATACGACTATAAATGACAGAGTATTAAGTTATTTCCCCTCGATGGGGA